GCACAGAGAACCTGGGCTAGGTTCCTTCAGACTTCTGATCTCGAATCCCTTTGATGCAAGTGCTTTGGGAAACCTCTTCGCGGAGTGCAGGCCGTTTTGAAGCACAACCGCAAGAAGATGTTGTTTCCCATTGAGCAGCCGCGCCTCCCCAGCATGACTTTCATGCTCGCACGCTTGGTCCCATCAGGCTGAATGCATGCTTCATGGACGAGGGGTTTCCGAGATTAGGGCTACCTTCTTATCGTAAGAAAACCCTACTATTTAGGGGAGTCATATGGGGGGTCCCGTATGATCGTTATGAACCCCCACATTGGCACGAAGACTGCAGTAAGGTCACGTAAGCACCCCTTGAACCGAAACCCCAAACCCCAAACCCTAAACCTTGCGCTCCCAAAGCCCGCGTCGGCTCCTGCTCGACCACGTCCTGTGACTGCTGGCTTTCCTCCTGCTTCACAAGCTCGCTCTGATGATGATGCTGTCGAAGGTGCCTGTGGCTCAGGACTTGCTGGCGCCTTAAAGCAAGTTATTCCCTCTCAGGCTCCGGGGTTTAGGGTTTAGGGTTTAGGGTTTAGGGTTCGTTTGAAACATGAAGCGTGAGGGAAACTGAAACTGGACGCAAGGCAAAGCCGGCAGCCTTGCTAGCTGGCCGCGTTATGGTTTGCATCCCTCATATTGGCTTGACAAGACTTCTAAAGGAGCACTTCTTGAAATACTGGTACCCCTGTAGACCCAAATTTCCTATAAGCCTGAGTAAGTACCCCGAATTCTTTGAAATTGGTCAGGAGGGTTTTGTCTAATAGGGTTGTCCCTAAAGCCGGCCTCTCGGCACGGGCCACAGCGTCCGCCGTCTGCTGTTCCAGCTGTTCATCCTCGGAGGCCCCCTCCCCCGCCCCCCCAAATCCCCCCCCCAGAAACTTCAGGTGAAGAGCTTGGGATTGGACGGAACTAACCCCCCCCCCCACCCCCCCCCCCCCCCCCCCCCGCAACCCCAAAAACGTTTTGCGATCAAAGATTGCACAGGACAGCCGACAGCATGTCAAACCGTGCGCATGCAGAAATGTGGCACATGCAGCATCTTTGTGAGAGGAGACAGAAACCGTGAAAACGTGCTTGCGTTTTGGACCTGGTCCAAAACGCAAGCACGGAAGACTTTTGGGCAGATACACCTCTCGTGGCTTCCCGCATGAGCGAAAAACCATGTCTAAGCTGATGCTTTTGAAGCATTTTGGAGAACGAGCCAAAACCCCAGCTGACAGTGTGAGCGAATCCCCACGTCGCAACTGAACCCGTCAGCTAAACCCTAAACCTCTCCATTATCCTCCATTTCAGTGGGTCGGCAGTAAATCTTAAATTCGGTCTCTGGCTGAGTTCGTGCGGGGAGCCTGCACGAGCTGCTCTTGAAAGCGCTGCAGCTCGTGCTCCAACTGGCCCTGCGATGGAGTCTCATGGGTTTAGGGTTAGGATTTAGGGCTTGGGGTTTAGTTGAAGGGGCACCTCATCATGCATAGTTTTTTTCCTTCCCGCATAGGACTAATCACTCGGCAGGGAGATGTCTACCATGACTCTATGACGGTCTACCCCTCTCGGCACAGGATCAGGCCGCGCCAAACCCTAGGGCCTTAAAGTATCTCCTACATAGGGACTTTAAGGCCCAAGTAGTCCCCATTCTGCTACCTTGACCCTTAGGGTAACTAAACCAAGCTAAACCCCACATCGCCCCACAAAGCCAGCATCCGCACGCAGAGGTTTAGCGTTCAGGGCATACATGGAGGTTCATGGGCACTTTATCACCGCAATTCGAAGACTCCTTAGAATCCGCTTAGAGGACTTAGGGGGCTTACAAGTACAGTTATGATTGGGGATATAAGTACCATGGACCTCGGGTTTCCTGCCGGTTGTGATTTCTAAGTCTATCCTCTTCTATCCCTAACTGCACTAAGCTTTCAGGCTTTCAGGGTCCTTGGCGAAAGCCTGAGCCCTAAACGAGGATGTGGAGCTCGCCTCGGCCCAAGACTACACTCTCCCTTTAGAATCATCTCATAGCGTGGGTTTTGCATCCACTGGGGCCTTTTATGTAACCAAAACTGAAAATAACTGGGGCTTTTTTGTAACCAAAACTGAAAATAACTGGGGCTTTTATGTAACCAAAACTGAAAATAACTGGGGCTTTTATGTAACCAAAACTGAAACATGACTGACATGGGCAAAGGGATCTCGCGAACTACCTTCTTGCGCACTGGTGTTGCAAGCCCCTAAATGGGTGCATGGACCGGACGCCCCTAAACTACCCCACAAGAATGGCCCTAAACCCTAAACCCTAAACCCTAAACCCTAAACCCTAAACCCTAAACCCTAAACCCAAAGATTGGTGCAGGTACTCCCCGAACCCTAAACACTGAGCTCTGAGCCTGACATTTAGCCCAAGCCTTAAACCGGCACGCCTTTGGAACACAGGAAGGGCTATCTTTCTGAGCATTCTTACATCGCGCTTACTACACTTTGCTTAAGAACCCCAAAAAATGAAACATAATAATTACTCCCTATATTACCCTTATAAGGAAGATAGTTTTTTTCATGTTCATTTCTTGGGGTTCTTAAGCAAATGGTGCTTAGGGTTCCCCTGGCTCTGTCCGCCTGCCGAAGGAGGATGCGTTGTTGCATCTGCTGGGCGTCCAGCTCCTGCCTCTCGGGGCTGATTCAACTTGCATGTTTCACATTGTCTTGATGATGCTGTAGGGTTCAAGGGTTTAGGGTCTAGGGTTTGGGGCTTGCTATGATTCCTCGCTTGTTCTTCTTCTTCTTCTTCTTCTGCCGGGCATGAAGGGCGTTCGATGATTACTCTCTCTCACTCTAAGCCCCACATTTCAGATGGTCAGTTCTTCGAATTTGTATTGTTTGTGTGTGCGGGCGCCCTGTGCAGAAGATACCGGCAAAAGGCGCAGTCAGGAGTGCCTTCGCTTGTCAGCCTCCATCTCCACTTCCTTGGCTGATCGCATGCAAAGTGCCGATATCACTTTAAACTGTTGTGTTATGAACTGTTATATAGTTATATGACTAACCGGGTTTTTATATTAACTGTTATGTTGCTAGAGAGAGAGAGAGAGAGAGAGAGAGAGAGAGAGAGAGAGATACAGAGAGATACAGAGGGAGGGGGAGAGGGAGAGGGAGAGGGAGAGGGAGAGGGAGAGAGAGATAGAGACTTTTTCTAGGCATCAAGACAATTTTACCCGTTCCCCTTCCGCACCACCTCCATAAGCCCGAATGGAACATACACGTCCTTCGTACATATCCAGCCGGGAGCAGCAAGACGGAAAAAAATCCCAGAGAACCGAAGCCCGGAAACCTTAGATGCAACCCTAAACCCTAAACCCTAAGCATATTGTCCCCCCCCCCCCCCCCCCAATAGACACCGAAACCCGAAACCCCATTCTGAAACAACATAACAAACCAACTCGGAGCTCCACGACACGAACCCTAAAGCCAAGCAAGACACAACAATCCCTTTTGTTACCCTTACAAGGAGGAGTATTTATTGTACTCTTTTGTAAAGGAAAGTACCCTCAACCCTAAACCCTAAACCCGAGGGGGGGGGTCTATCAAGCAAATAGTAGTCTCTTTGGGGCCGGGCACCATCTCCTGGAGGACTTTCGACTTCTCCCGAGCCTCCTGATCCTGGGGGGCGCTCTTAGGGAAAGTAGCCCTAGACCCTAAACCCTAAACCCTAAACCCTAAACCCTAAACCCTCGGCACGTAGGCTCGTGGGTTTAGGGTTTCGACTCTCACGCTCGCACAAGGCCGGCAAGGTGTCGGTTGGTAGGGTTTGGGGTTTGGGGTTTAGGGGGTTGTACACAGAATATGAAGCCTTGTGCGTAGGGTACCCAACTTCGAGAGCTCCGATGAGGTCTCAGAGGTCTCACGGTGTAGCGTTTCGGGTTTTAGAGGTTCATGGCTCAAGGTGCAACATGGGGATGCAGAGACGAGGTCATGCGCATGTCCTTACAGGGGTCTGGCCTTCATTGCGCCTCGAACTTAGCGGCAGTTTAGAGGGCTTCTAGTAATCTCGGGTCGCCCGTTTTAGGGTTTTGGGATGTTCAGTATGAGCCCTCCTGTCATCAACCATGAGGGGTCCCAGAAACGGTCATTGTGGATGTGGAGGCTTTGGAGCTTTCGATGTCTGCAAAGATTTGGTGGGTTACGGGCCTGGCAGCCTGGTTTGTTGTTTAGGGTTTAGGGTTTCGACTCTCGCACTCGCACAAGGGTTTAGGGTTTTGGGTTTTGGGTCTAGGGTTTTGCGGTTTAAGTCCCCCGGCAGCCAAGGGGCCCGCAACTGTTGCCGCTGGCGCAGCTCTTGATTCTTGAGGAGCTGGATCTGGTGGCCTGCGCAGGAGCACCAGGTCTCTCGGTGCCCAGCCCAATACGACCCTAAACTTGAAGTTATGCCACCCTAGACCCCAAGTCCAGACGTCCAAAATGCAAGCAGCCTCCAGAAGAAAACCACAGTCCCGCGTGCGCGTCGCGCGGAAAATATCGACCTAGCCCCTAAGCGTTGGCACCCCTTGTTGACACACTGCTTGGGGAACAGACGCCTTTCAGGTGCCATGAGCCTTCTGAAACTCTGAATTCCTTCAAGCTGCAGCTCAACCAAATTCAACCCTGTAACCAAAAAAGCGCAGCCCAAAAGCTCGGTCACCCCATACAAGGATTTCCCACCCACCCCAAGATGCTCACAACGACTCTGTCGCTTGGTAGAAGGATGGGGTGTCAGACAAGAACAGGACACTTTTGTCAGAAATGCTCTGCGAAACTTCTCGAAACGTCTCGCCGTCTCGCGCTGCTTCGGCTCTCGGACAATTGAGGGCAAGCCTTCACAAGTCGCCTGGAGGAACCGCCTCACACAAGCACACATGCTTCACCGGAAAGACCACCTTGAGGCTCTTGACAATCTCCACATTGGTCCCAACAGCTGATCACTCCATTCCTAAGAGTATTCCGGAGGACAACTAGGAGATCATGCCGCTCGCGTTCAGAATGCCGATCAGCTCATTGGCTGCTCCACTGGCCAGGCGCTCCCCGGCCAGCCGTCGCAGAATCTCTTGCTCTGTGTTGCCGTTGATGATGCCAACGCGATCTTTCAGCTCCTCGTCAGGGAGGTCGCGCAGGTGGGAGTGCGCCACTGCAAAGGCCACACCGGCTGGTGGATGGCTGATGGTCGCCTGAAGATCGGCAACCACTGCAAAAGGCAAAGCACGAATCCCCACTCTCTGGGGAAAGCGGCTTCGTGCAAAAGCAGAGTACAGCTCGTACTCCGAGGCTCGTCCATCGCAGGCGCGTGCAGCGGCCAGAAACGCCTCCCAAAAGGCATGGCCAGGCCAGGCACGCTCCACCTCCGCAAAGAGTGCTCTCAGGATTGAGGTGTCCAGGACGCTGTGATGGCAAACCGCAGTCTCTCGTTCAGGCCTTGCCTTGGCCAGGCCAGGCAGCACATGAGCCACGAAAGCGTCGTAGCGGTGGAGATCCACCGCGCTCCGGATCGGGGGGCAATTTTCCGAGTCGAAGGTGCAAAGCAAAGCCCGGCCTTCGTCAAGGAATTTGAGACGCTCGCTATGTCCGCTACGCTCTGCGAGCCAAACAACATCAGCATCACAGACGAGGACCTGCTCTGTCAGATTCAGCAGAAGCGGGCCGTAGAGCTTCAGAAGCTGCTGGAAAAGCCAGCCCGGCACGCAGCCGCACTCCGCGCTGTCGCCGAGGTGGAAGGGCCAGCATGCGTCAGCCTCATCCACCCACTCCACTCCGCATTCCTGCACGGCAGCGTCTTCCCAAGGGCTCTTGCTCACCACCAGGATGCGCTGGACCTCAGGGCAGGTGCGGCGCAGCGATCGGACGGCATGCCCCAGGGTAGCAAAATCTTTCTCGTGCGCGGGAATGATGCAGTCCAGCACCCTGTCGGACATGGCTTTTAAGACGGCTCAATAACGACGGAATGTGTCTTAGGCAGCCTTGTAAGCAAGACAGGTTCGGGACCCCGGAGTTTGAGAGGTGTCACATAAGCCCATGTCAGGAGGACTAGAAGATGGCTGCAACAGTTTGGGCATGCGCTGTGGGACTGAAACACTGAAGTACTACTGTCTGGTGGCTCGAGGTATTGTGATGGGAGTCGTGCCGAAGGAGCCGCAGTTAGTGGCTCAGGGAGCACGTTGGGGTTTAGGGTTTAGGGTTTATAGGGTTTAGGGTTTAGGGTTTCGGAGATACAAGCTCAAGCCTCAGCCGCACCTGACAAGCCAAAAGCCCCGGACCCAAAAGCCTTCAACTCTTTGCCAGGCGATGTTTTGGGATTTCCCCGTGGTAGCCCAGTAGCCATATGATAACGAGGGTGCCCTTCTTGGCCTTGGCTACTTTATGAGGGAACCTTGCACCCCCCCAAAGGAGGGACAGGGTAACAACTGGGCTACCAAGGCCCTTATGACTTTTACCCCATCTTGCATCCGGGCTATGATGTCCGTAACTTTTACCCCTAAACCCTAAACCCTAAACCCTACACCCTAAACCCTATATAAACCCTAAACCCTACATAAACCCTAACCCCGACATAAACCCTAAACCCTACACAAACCCTTTATAAACCCCCAACCCTAAAAGCTCTAGGCTCCACCCCGCAGGGCACTGAGCTCCCGGGCTGAGGTTTTTCTCCTCGAAGTCCAGCTGCCGCTGTGCCACCTTGAGGGTGAAGGCTTTTTTTTTTGGGGGGGGGAGTTCCCAGATTCCATGTAACTAAGTATGTACGTACGTAACTTGTATATATATATATATACATCTACATATATATATATATATACAAAATGTACCTTGTAAATGTATATATATATATATATGTATATATATATATATACATACATACATATACAAAATGTAGGGCACCTCCAGCTGGTGCTCCTCCGACTGGAACCAGTGCTGCATGGCCTTACAGCTTGGATGGTGTGCGTAGGTGGGGGCAGACCTCCGCAGCCCCTCGACCCTAAACCCTAACTGGAGCCTACCGGTTTAGGGTTTAGGGTTTAGGGTTTAGGGTTTAGGGTTTAGGGTTTAGGGACAAGTCTATAGGGGAGAGGCCCACCGAAGCCCCAAAAAATTAAAAGCGCTGCGAGCTCCAGCTTACGGGGACATTCGAGCTTCAATCACCCAGTCTTGCACCAGGAGCAAGACAACCCTAAACCCCAAACCCTAACAGCCGAACCGGCACGTCGGCCTCCACCCTATCATCCCGTCCCAGAACCCGACTTGCAAAATCACGCGGCACGAAGATACCGGTTTGAACCTGGAAGTAGCTCTCTTGGGGTCATACCGTGTATGAACCCTAGGACCCCTGAACTGGGTTTAGGGTTAGGGTTTAGGGTTTAGGGTTTAGGGTTTAGGGTTTAGGGTTTAGGGTTTAGGGTTTAGGGTTTAGGGTTTAGGGTTTAGGGTTTAGGGCTAGATCCAGGCAATCCTAGCCTGGCTCTGCTGCTCTTGGCCCTGATGCCTCTCCTCGAGGCGAAGGCGAAGCGCACGGGCTTCGGCCTCCTCCTCGGGCAGCTTCCTACTATTTGCTTAAGAACCACCCCCGACCCCCCCCCCCCCCATGCAATAAAAACATATAAATAAAAATATAACTAAATAAATAAATAAATAAATAAATGAAATAATAGATAAATAACTACACACATATATATATATATAATATTATCCCTTATGCGGGTAATGTAGGGACTATTATCCGTTTATGTTTTGTTTTTTTATTTTTGGGGGTGGGGTTCTTAAGCAAATGGTCGTTTCTTCAGGCAGTTCTTTACAACAGCATCCCTTTTGTAGGCTCTCACACACGAAAGTCACCAAACATTGAGATAACGTCCATTCGTTGAGGTTGTAGTTCTCTCTTCTGCTGGTCTCTGGGTCTGTTCGTTATGGATGTTAACTTCCCGACAGGCTTGGGACGAGGTCAGTGTGCCCCAGCTGCAGAAGCAGGAGACCAACATTTACTACCGGCATCTTCAAACCATATCTTCCTCTAGACTCTAAGCATCACGTTGCGTGACCATGAATGGATGCCGGATGGCGGCCTGTTAATGCGAGCTCGCGAGCCTACCCTCACTTGTACGACCACTCATCCCTGCTGCTTACACATACCATCCCTTTAATGCAAGTGACCACATGGCGCCGCAAGCATGTAAGCGCGCTCACGATGTAGACTTTCGCACAATTTTTAAAGCGTCGTGGAACCCAACTATGCACGGATGACAATTCCATTGAGGTTCACGGCATCGTGAAACAAGGGGGTGTGGAAGATCACTTAAACCCTAAACCCTAACCCCTAAACCCTAAGCCCTAAACCCTAAGCCCTAAACCCTAAACCCTAAACCTTGTGCAACAACTTCGGCCCTTTTGCTCCAGTATGGCAGCTGGTCGATGTGGTGACACAACCGCTGCGAATGACATAGGCACGTGGTCCTGCTTCTCATCTTTGCAGACTCCGTCTAATGACGGAAGCCCCAAGCAGCCGCGAATGCCCACAACATCAAACCGCAGATGACATGGTGTGCTCGGCATAGACTCTAGGATGAGCTACCACTCAAAGGCCCCCAGGTCCTATGCCCTATGCATTTTCCCTGCGCCTTAGACCATCTGACATCTCCTATGCTCTGAACCTGAACTAGATGAGCAGGTGCATCAGAACAACCTAGAACCCAAAGACCTGCAGACCCCTAGCTCAGCATAATACGCCGCGCAGCCTGTGTGCCCTAACTCTGAATCTCGGATAGTGCATCCGGACAGAAGCATCGCGTGCCTGGGCTCTGCGACTCAAACTCCGAGAGCTTTGGCCGGACCACAGCCGAAAATCAGGAATCAGGGTTTAGGGCGACGAGGCCGCTTAAAGAATCAGAAGGGTTCAGAGTTCGTGGTGTACAGAGTTATTAAAGGTTCAGGAACTTGACTATCAGAGGGCCGTCTCACTCGGGGTGGAACAGCAACCTGGCAAGTCGCTGTAAGGTTTGTCTTCGACCCTTCAGCTGCAAGAAAGAAATTGCCGTGCCCCTGCACTTTTGCAGGGCTTGTAGCTACGAACATGTGCCGGGCTGCTGCAAGGTGCATAGCTCGAGCGTCTCTTTCTTTTAGATTCAGGGGTGAGAGTGTAAGGCTTAGGGTTGAGCAGCTCCTGACGCTCTGCCTTGCGCTTCGGTGCATAAACGGCTTTGGGGTGATCTCGCAGGCTAGCCTCCAAGGGACTCATCCGAGCAGCAGCCACGGTTTAGGGTTTAGGGTTTAGGGTTTAGGGTTTAGGGTTTAGGGTTTAGGGTTTGCAGGGAGCTTTCTTATGTCCGCAGGGCAGCTCCACGAGCCGAGCTATCTAGCCCACTCTTTGGAAACATCCCAGTCGCTTTTGAAATAAACATGGGGGGGTGTATGAAAAGCAGGGACCCCTACTGCAGACCCCCAGATAGTAGGATACCCTTGTACTAGGGACCCCAATAACGAACCCCGAATTTCGTAAATCCTAAACCCTAAACCCTAAACCCCTAAACCCCTAAACCCCTAAACCCCTAAACCCTAAACCCTAAACCCTAAACCCCTAAACCCCTAAACCCCTAAACCCTAAACCACATTTATTTGTACGGAGCTTCGCATACTAGATGATCGGCTGCGGTCTCTTCCTTCCTGCCGGAGAAGATAGAAGGCCCCCGCGAGCTGGCCAAGGGTGCAGGGCGGTGCAGACGAAGGCCCGGCTTCATGTAGGGGCCAAAATTGGGGGTTTAGGGTTTAGGGTTTAGGGTGTAGGGTTTAGGGTTAGGGGTTAGGGTTTAGGGTTTAGGGTTTAGCGTTTAGGGTTTAGGGTTTAGGGTTTAGGGTTTAGGGTTTAGGGTTTAGGGTTTAGGGCTACTATAGGGGCCTAATTAGAATGGGGCTTTGGGGGGTTTATTATAATATTCTTTTATCAAGGGACCATAAAGGGAATGCTATTAGCAATTTTCCGACCCCGACCCCTATAGTTATCTGTGTTGGGCGAATCTGCATCGACCTGCCTCGCAAGAAGGCGGCCCTGCTCACTGCAGCATCGACGCAATCGACGCGCCGACCAGCGCAAAGACGGAGGCGACGGCGTTGTGAGAACTGCCGCCGGTTGTGCTTGAGCCGGGGCACGTGACGCTGTCGCCGATAGCCATGTCCTGCGCGCATGCGTCTCCGTGCCCACAGATGCCCCACCAACTCGGATCCTCCGATGATTGTTTGGCATTCTCGTTGGTCCCGGGACAGGTTTGTGAAGGCAGCGAGGGGGTCTCCCCATTCTTGCAGGTGATCATTCCGTTCGTGCCAGCCGAAACTGTGGCCTGGCCACTGAAGTCCCACACTGTGGGTGATGCTGAGGCGCCTTAGTTGTCCAGAAACCTGGGGGAGTTAAAGGTGAACCTTTGGGATTCTATTGGGTTAGAATACCCAAAAAAGGTTCAAGGTTACCTACTCTACTACTAAGGCGCACTTTGGTGGACTGACCATCCAGGCCCACTTGGCGGAGACGCCCATGCTGGGGAAGAGGAGAGGCATCAAGTTCGCCACCGCCGCCCCGAAGATGGTCACTGCGACGCTGCGGAGGACTGCCATGGCAAAAGCTGGGGGCAAATAAAGGAGACGGCGGAGCTTGAGGGAGCACGGCGCTGGAAATGCCCTTAGGTCCAGGGCAGAAATGGCTTGGCGACAGGCCATCGAATCCCTTTCGACATCTGCGGAGGTCAACGTGCCAGCAGGATGCTACATCATGCTACATCACCGAGACCGGATGAGGCCTCCTCAATCTCTTTGGCGGACTTTCCGGCTTTTGCCTTGAAGACTTTGAACATGTCCTGCGTCACAGGACGCTCAAGCATCCAAGTCCTGCCTAGACTGCGGACTCTCGCTAGTGACTCTGTTTAGATGGTGACAACCAGGCCCTTTGTACTTCAGGGCTATAACTGCTTCAGGAAGCTTGAATATATTCTCAAAGCCCAAGATACCCAAGATCAAACCTAGCTCGGCGCGAGCCTTATTTTCTTGCTTCCTAAGCCCTGCATGTCTCGGTGCTGTGTTTGTAACAACCTTTCGAATTTTTCCGGGCTTACATGATGAGACCACCAGTCCGAAAAGCCCCCCCCCCCCCAATTTGACCTCTGACGCCTCTTTCTCTCTCTCTCTCTCTCTGCCGCGCCAGCCCCTAGGGTTTTTGCTACAAAAGGGCGCGAAAAACAGGCCAGGATCTCTGATGCCTCGTTGGCACCTAGATTCCTGCCCTAGTCTGCACGCTTTACTCGGAGTCCCCAGCTTGGGGGATGTTCCCTAGACGAAACACAGTCCTTAACCTTGGGGACGAAATGAACCCTAAGAAGGTTTATGGCTCATATACCTTCATAGTACCAATTTTAGGGTTCATTTGGTCTGCAAGGAACAGGGAATTCGAGTACCCCGCTATTCGAACCCCTGTTACGGAGCTGGTAGTACAAGGGGGAACATCCCAATCCCCAGCCTTCAAAAGCCTGGCTGGTTCTTCATTAGTAGGGAATGAGGGACTGATGCAATTACCCTATATAATCCTTTCAAGGGTATATATCGGGTACCTCGTTCCCCCGTTTTCTACTAAGAACCAGGCGGAGAAACTCCCGCCACCCCAAACCCCAAACCCTAAACCCGGAACCCAATACCCAAACCCCAAACAACCCTAAACCCAAAACCCAAAACCCTAAACCCCAAACCCTAAGCAGTAACTCCCGCCTGCAGATGCGTGCACTCTCTGGCCAGGGCCTTCGCCGAGGACTCCTCGGCCAGCAGCGCCGACTCCAGGGCCTCAGCCAGCAGAAATTTAAGGGAGCTAGGGTTTAGGGTTTAGGGTTTAGGGTGTAGGGTTTAGGGTGTAGGGTGTAGGGTTTAGGGTTTAGGGCTGCTCCCTGTGCCTTTTTGTGACAGGCAAGGGGTTTCTGGGTGGGGGAAATGACATCCCAGCAAGGAACAAGCAAGCAAGCTTCATGGCATCAATGATGCCACAGCTTGTTGTGAATGAGCGTCTTGGGTAGCTTCCTAAATTATGGGCTCTTTTTGGGTACCCATGATCAGGCAGCACCCATTAAAAAGTAATTTAGAGAACTATACCCATTGTTGCTCAGGTTGGCCCTAAACCCTAAACCCTAAATGCATAGGGTCAGTGATTCGAGGTTCGGGTTTGCTCTGAGCCTTTTTGCCCAAACCCTAGACTTCCCTAAGCCTCACACCCTAAATCAGCCCAAGCCGTATCTTTATGAGGCAACCTGCGGCAACCTGCACTTAAAAGAGGTTGGGGGCTCATGTTCATAAAAGAGAAACATGGACAGCTAACATGGAAACCCCCTCGTAACCTGATAGCCACCTAAAGCCCCCCATGATTCCCAAGAAGGAAACCCCTGTATCCCTCTTTTGCCCTAAGCCACCATGCCACCGCGAAGCAGGTCTTCAAACCATCCATCGCATAGACCCCAGAAGCCCAAACCATAGTCACAGGTCTAAAGCAACCTGAAAACCAGCAGAACATCTCAAAGACTTGAAGCAGGGATTTGTTATTAATGGTCAGTATCCCCACACCCGCCCCCACCCAACAAAGAACAAAAAACAAAAAGCTCACCTATGTTTGTAAGGAACCTGGAGCGCTGGCGGAGGGTTTTTTTTTTTGCAAAGGTGTGGCTCGGCCCTGTCCTCTTGCAAAGGTGTGGCTCAGTAACCCCCTTCCCCTCCACGTTCCCACCCCCCCCCCCCACCCCCCCCCCCCCCCCCCCCACCCACCCCCCCCCACCCCCCCCACCCCCCCCACACCCCCCCACCCACCCACCCCCCCCAACCCCCACCCCCCCCCCACCCCCCCACCCCCACCCCCCCCCCCCCCCCCCAACCCCCCCCCCCCCCCCCCCCCCCCCCCCCACCCCCCCCCACCCCACCCCCCACCCCCCCCCACCCCCCCCCCCCACCCCCCCCCACCCACCCCCCCCCCCCCCCCCCCCCCCCCCCCCCCCCCCACCCCCCTCCCCACTCCCCCCCACCCCCCACTCTCACCACCCCGACTCCCTCCCCCTTATTTGCAAACTCAATGCTTGCCTCTAGGTTTCAAAAAAACTCATATGCTTTGAAACAAGCTTGCACGGCTTTCAGAAGCGGGGGGTTGGGGGGGGCGCAGCCCCCCCCCATTTGAAAACTCAATGCTTGCATCATGGGTTTCAAAAAGACTCTTATGCTTTGATGCAAGCTTGCACGGCTTAAAAAAGCGGGGGGGTTGGGGGGGGCGCAGCCCCCCCCATTTGCAAACTCAATGCTTGCATCATGGGTTCCAACACCGGGGGGGCCATTTGCAAACTTAATGCTTGCATCATGGGTTTCAACAAGACTCATATGCTTTGACGCAAGCTTGCACGGCTTAAAAAAGCGGGGGGGTTGGGGGGGGCGCAGCCCCCCCCATTTGCAAACTCAATGCTTGCATCATGGGTTTCAACAAGACTCATATGCTTTGACGCAAGCTTGCACGGCTCAAAAAAAGCGGGGGGGTTGGGGGGGGCGCAGCCCCCCCCATTTGCAAACTCAATGCTTGCATCATGGGTTTCAACAAGAATCATATGCTTTGACGCAAGCTTGCACGGCTCAAAAAAAGCGGGGGGGTTGGGGGGGGCGCAGCCCCCCCCCATTTGCAAACTCAATGCTTGCATCATGGGTTTCAACAAGACTCATATGCTTTGACGCAAGCTTGCACGGCTTAAAAAAGCGGGGGGGGGTTGGGGGGGCGCAGCCATTTGCAAACTCAATGCTTGCGCATACTACATATATACACTCCACGTATTTCTACCAGCTACAGCTACATCGCGGTAAAAAGAATCTTTGCGACTGGGGAGAACAGGGAAATCAAAACGAAGTCGGCACCCAAGCCAGGCCAAGCCGAGCCAAGCCACGCCGAGCCAAGCCAAGCCAAGCCAGCCAGGCCAAGCCAAGCCGAGCCGAGCCCACCCGAGCCAAGCCAAGCCAAGGAGCCAAGCCAACGAAAGCCAAGCCGAGCCAAGCCAAGCCAGAGGACAAGCCGAGCCAAGCCAAGCCAAGCCAGGTCAGAGGACACGCCCAGCCAAGCCAAGCCAAGCCAAGCCACACCTTTGCAAGGGGACAGGGCCGAGCCACACCTTTGCAAAAAAAAAAACCCGGACCCCTGGAGCGCTAGACACCCTAAACCCCACCTTCAAGCCCTGAACTCCACCTCAAACCCTGAACCCTACCTCAAACCCTAAACCCCAGACCCTAGACCCTAAAACCTTTCACCCTGAACCCCCACACCCCGCTTCAAGCATTTCGGGTTGAGCGCGGTCGCCTGCTCCTCCCGCGCCGACCGGGCAGCCTCCGCCTCGCTCTCCTTCGTAGAAAGGATGTGGGAAGGTATTGATGAGGGCCAATATGGGTTTCTGCAGCACCATCTCCAAAGAGCGAACATCGGGCGCCAACGTGAAACACGAGTCTGCACCGCAAGCTCAGGACACCAAAACCCCAGCACCCCAAAAAGCCCAGAACACCACAACCCAAACCACAAAGCCCCAAAACACAAACCCCAACCCCAAACAAGACCACGAACCCGAACCCCCGAGGCCGAAACCACAAACCCGAACCCCCGAGGCCGAAACCGCAAAACCCTCCCAAGCCAATATGGGTTTAGGGTTTAAGGTTTCGGGTTTAGGGTTTAGGGGGGTTTTGGGCGTGGGGAGTCCTCAGAAGATTTCTGAACACAATCCTCAAATCGCTTGCCCCTGTTTTCAGGGTGGTCGGCCGAATCCTCCATCCCGTCCACCCTATACTTGCGGAAGTCTCTGAAAAGCCCTAGACCCTAAACCCTTTCTTTGAATTCAAAACCCTAAGCCCTTTCCTTTTGAACCCCCAAACCCTACACCTCAAACCCTCAACCGCTGAAGTTTACCGGTTCCCAAGGCATCCGCAGCTGGAGCAGGTTTTCTTGTGGTCTTTAACGGTTTAGGGTTTAGGGCTTAGGCGTCGGTACTTTAGGTCAGGAGGTTCAAGGTTCAGGATTTTTGAGGATTTCGGGGGCGTAGTTTCGGAAGGAAAGTACCGCAAAGCACGTTTAGGGGTTTTTTGTCTCTCCAATGGCACCAGCGTGCTGACCATCTCCCCTTGCCCCTAAACCCTTTTGAACCTGGAAGCTCCTCTGGACCCCTAAACCCTAAACCCTAAACCCTAAACCCTAAACCCGAAATCCTAAACCCTAAACCCTAAGCCCTAAGCCCTAAACCATAACCCTAAAAACCCTAAACCCCCTAAACCCTAAACCCTAAGTCAACCTTCGAGCGCCAGGGACGCCCTGCCTTCAGCCGCAGCTCCAGGGATTTGCAGCGCTGCCATGTCTGGTCGGCCACCTGCGCACGATCGATTGGCAGTGCGCTAGGGTTTAGGGTTTAGGGTTTAGGGTTTAGGGTTTAGGGTTTAGGGTTTAGGGTTTATAGGGGCTTCCTTCTAGCCCGGTGCTTGCGCGATGACCCTTCTCAAGTTTGGGGCTCCTTTTTTCGCGTGTCGGTTGAAATGCTACTCAGACCTTAGCCGAAAGCTCAAACATACACCCTGCAAAGCAGGTAGTCAAAGCCAAGACAACATCCCCCGGAAGAGAGGCGACATGATAGATATTCACTTGGTAGCCCAGCAACCATATTATGATCCACCCGTTTGTGGGTTGGATACTTTATAAGGGAACCTCGAGCCAAAACAAGGGAAAAGGGCACCACTGGGCTACCCTAAACCCTAAACCCTACACCCTAAACCCTAAACCCACCAAGTTTGGGCGCCTATCCTCGCCGCGCCTCGGACGTCTTGGCATTCCGCAGCTTGACCACTTCGATGGCTTTTCGATGCGAGTCTATCCTTGCCTGGCCACCAGAGTCGTGTAAGTATAGGGGTTTTAGTACGGCTATAGACATTGCATAGGATTTGGGGTCCTAAAGTTGACAGAAATATCTTGCTGATTGAATATTTTGGAATTTAGGTTCATACTGTTGGGGGAAGCGGGGGGGGGGGGGTTGGCGGCAGGGTTTGGAGGGCTTCCATCATCTGGGACCCTTTCTTTTTTGTAGAGGGGGTTAGGGTGTAGGGTCAGGGGACCTAACCCTAAACCCTAAACCCTAAACCCTAAACCCTTAACCCTAAACCCTAAGCCAACTCCTCCTGAAGGTTGACGTCTAATCGACAGCTCTTGCCGCTGATTCGCTCAGGTGATGTTGTCAGCTGCTGTCATAATCCGAGGTCTTCCTTTGGCACCCTAGACCCTGAACCCCAAACCCTATTAGGGCTTAGTAAACCCTACAACAACCCTTCCGCCCTCCTCTGTCCTCCGAGAGTTGAGTTGAGGTGATGAAGAAAAGTCCCCCCCCCCCCCCCCCCCTGCCCCGTGCTGTCGCCGGCATCTACGCGGGGGTTGATGCTATCAACAGCTCTCCACGAATTGGGGCCTCTGTGTGTAGGGTTAGGGTTTAGGGTTTAGGGTTTAGGGTTGAGGGTTGAGGGTTGCGAGTTTAGGGTTTAGGGTTTAGTGTGTGTGTGGCAGGTGGTCCATCAGGATGTGTCAGAACAACTTGTCCTGATGGAAAGGGCCCTAGCTGGGTGTTCCACCCGAGTGAGCCAAATGAGGGCATGGAGAGTGCCTAGCACCGAGCTCCAACTCCCAAAGAAGGCCCTAAACCCTAAACCCTAAACCCTAAACCCCAAGGCAGGTACCATATTTACATACTTGGAGCCTCAGGTTGGGGATGCTGCACATACACGCGGCAGTGCTCGCCTCCAGCGACCTCGCCGTGCTTTGCATCTCGTTGTCCTCGCTGGCCAGAGACGACTGTGCGAAAAAAAGAGGGTTTAGGGTTTCGGGTTTAGGGTTCATGCTGTCGTGCAGAAGTCCGTGCCTCATATCGTCCGAATGCAAGCAGACTCTCAACCCCCAAGACCCGAAGTCTACCCCTTCAACTTCTCAAATCCCCAAACTTGTATATACAGTTATACTATCGTGCAACACCTCGGTACCAAAAGCAGAACAAGCGCTGCTGATGCCTCGGTCTCAAGAGTTGCCAGCTCCTTCGAGGCCTTCTCCAGGTACTCCTCGTGGCAGGTGTCGGAGTTAGAGACGGCCCAAAACCCCAGTTTGGAAGGAGTGTCCCCCTAAGCCCTAAGCCCTGAGCCCTAAGCCCTAAGCCTTAAGCCCTAAGCCCTAAGCCCTAAGCACTCCATTTTTTCTTTTCAGGGGCTCTCTGAACCCTAACCCAGTATCTCCTCAAGGTTGGCCTCTTTCTTCTTGCGCCAGACGGCTGCTTCTGCCTTCTCCTCCGACTCCAAGACCTGCAAGAACGATGTTAAGAAGGGTAACACTGGGCTGGCAAGTAAACCTTATGAACCCTAAACCCAAAACCCAAAACTCCGCGCTCCAGTCCCACAACCTCGGTGCCCAGGCCTCGTGCTCGTAGGCCAGCTTTTGCCTAGACTGGCCCGTAACCCCCCCCCCAAAAAAAAAAAATGTATATATATATATATAAACACTTATGTGTACACATATATATATATATATATTATTCCTAAAAATATGAGCCTCTTAAACCCAATAAGAGAAAAAAACAAAAATATCCCCAGGCCCTACCCAGTCGCAGAGCCAGATCCTCTGTCCTCCGCGCCATCTCGTGCACCAAGGCCTCCATCTTCCTGAGCTTAGGGTTTAGGGTTTAGGGTTTAGAGCTGTGAGGGAGACATGCGCAACTTCAGACTAAACCCCAAGCCCTAAGCCCTAAGCCCTAAGCCCTAAGCCCTAAGCCCTAAGCCCGAAGCCCTAAACCCTAAACCCTAAACCCTAAACCCTAAACTAAACCCTGAACCCTAAATCGGGTTCCAAAGTCTTTGGAGCTTGAGGTCCATCACTTAGGACCGGTCTTTACCGGCACCTTTTAAAGCCTTCGGAATCAAGTCTTCTCTGACGTCTCGACTTGGCAACTATACCCCCCCCTTAGAACCTTAATAAACATGATATTATTAATATCCTCTTGGGTTTTACATAAACAAGAGTATAAAATAATTTCATATTGCAAGGTGCCTTTCTTTCTCCTCGCGCAAGTTCTTGGCAGCGAACAGCTCTGCCTGCGCCCGCACATACCTGATTGCTTTGCAGGCTTCGGCACACATTGGGCTGCAAGCAGCCTACCGAGCCTAACTTCTGACTGCACGCACAGACACTCTTAATCACACTTATGTAGCTGACGCTTGTCAAGAGATCTGCAAACGCACCTTTTTGCAAAATGGCTGTGCGAGACCGAGGGACATGCGACTGGGACAAGGGGAGGGAGAAAGAGAGCGAGAGCGAGAGAGCGAGCGAGAGAGAGCGAGAGGAGGGAGGGAGGGCGGGCGGGACGAAGGGATGGAGGCAGGGAAAGGGTTCTGCACGGCCAAAGCTTCCGAAGCACTCCCAATGCCGACTCCCCCTGAGCCCCGCAAGTCAACGCACGAGTGGCAAATTCGAACAACATATACAGGGTTTAGGGTTTAGGGTTTTATAGCTTTAGACCGGGTTTAGGGTTTTAGGGTTTAGGAACCATACCATCAACTCTGAAGCCTTAACCCGAGGGCCACTGCAACCTGCAACCGGAACTGTCCCAAAGCCCCATGCAATCAGCAACCCGGCTGCTGCTGCTCACGCTCCTGCCATGGGCGTTCCCGTGGGTGTGTCCGTGTGTGTGCGTGCGTGGGTGTTTAGTCTTGTTTTCGCTATTTAGCTCGATCATTCCCTGCGCAGCCCTGGCTGCTTCAGCTTACTTTCGCCCTTGCAGTCACTGTTCTACTTCGGCCCTGCACCTATAGCTTACAAGAGCAGGCTCAAATTACATCAAGAAGCCTTGAACCGTTTAACCCCTCAAGTGGTCCGTTGAAGACCATAAAAGCGACCACATCCCCTCATGGACCGAACCCTCTGCGTACCTCTGCCAAGCCCGAGGAAGCTGTGGACGCCCTTTCAGCATCCCTCCAACTTCTATATACAAGAACCAACCTAGTCATCTAACTTGAGCATGAGAGGCACGAACTACTAGACCCTAAAAACCCTAAACCCTACCCTGAACCCCTAGCAGTACTAGCATGGAGCATGCCAGGCACCTCGGTCTCCAGCGAAGACAGCTCCTTCGAGGCCTTCTCCAGGTACTCCTCTCGCAGCATGTGTCGGAGTTTCGAGCCAACCCCCAGTTTTAGAAGGGCGTCAGAGGGCTCCCTAACACTTGCGTTCCACCGAAAAACACGAGCCTTGTTCGACTGACCTTACGTAAACCTTTGGCCAGGGTTTAGGGTGGCCCTCCTCCCCAAAGCCCGGCTCGGAACCCACTCCTCAAGGTTGGCGCCCTTCTTCTTTCGCCAAACGGCTGCTTCTGCCTTCTCCTCCGACTCCAAGACCTGCAAGAACGACTTTCGAGGCTGCTTTGCTCTTGGGTTAGCTTCAAATCCACAATCCCTACAACCCCTGCGCAGGGGTCTGGTGCTGATCTTGCTTCATCTTCTGCGGACGTGCCATCTTCCGCTTGATCTTGTCCGCGTTTGCCATGTTCGTTGTCTGGTACACGGGCACACGCACACGCCGAGCATCCACCACGGCAGCTGTGCAATGTCGCCAGCTTAGAATTTCCGGGTCCCCAACTTATGGGGTGGGCTGTCCTCTGAATATCCTTTGCGGGGCAGCCGCGCTTCTGTGAGGCAGCGAGCGGTTCTGCGAACTTTTCCACAAGGCAATTGTAGTCTTCCCTGTAAGTTCTGCGTGGCTACGCAGGGCTCGTCGGGTTCTGCGGGGGTGTCATGGGGTGTGTGCAGTTCTGCGGGGGTCATTCAGGGGGTCAGGTAGGGCGGCCCACCCCATTCAGTTGGCACCCGACTAAACCCTAAACCCTACACTACCCAGGCCTCGTGTTCGTAGGCCAGCTTCTCCAGAGCCAGAT